TCTGTTCCTTTATTTTCCTCTTGTTTTCTTCCCTTGTGATTTGATGTTTTTCTGTAGTGATATAGTTTAGTTTTTTCTCTTTTTGTGTGTGTGTCTAGCTACTATAAGGTTTTGCTTTGTGGTTCCCATGAGGCTTCCACAAAATAATTTATAACTGGTTTAACTTGATAACAACTGAAGTTGGAACACATTCTAAAGCTCTATATTTTTACCCCCTTACCCCTGTGAAACCTTTTTTAGATGTCACAATTTACAGATTTTTATCTTGTGTATGCAGTAACAATTTATTATAGTTATCATTATAGGAATACTTTTGTCTTTTAACCTTCATACTAGGTTATGAAATGATTAACCCACTACCTTTACAACATTAGATTATTCTGAATTTTACTACACATTTACCTTTACCAGTGAGATATACACTTTTGAATGTGTTCCTGTTAAGTAGTACCCTTTTGTTTCGGATTAAAGAAGTCCTTTTAACAGTTTTTGTAAGGCTGGTCTAGTGGTGATGAACTGCTCTGGAGTACTGTTTATTTCTCTAATTCTGAAGGACAGCTTGTTGGGTAGGGTATGGTTGGTTGGCAGTGTTTTTTAATATAATCATGCCACTTTTTTCTGGACTGCAAAGTTTCTGCTGAAAATCTACTGATGGGGTCCTTTGTACCTAACAAGTCGTCTGTCTTTTGCTGCTTTTTATTTTTTATTTATTGTTTTAAAGATTTTATTTATTCATGAGAGAGACACACACGCAGAGAGAAAGAGAAAGGCAGAGACATAGGCAGAAGGAGAAGCAGGCTCCATGCAGGAAGCCTGATGTGGGACTCGATCCCAGGACTCCGGGATCGTGCCCTGAGCCAAAGGCAGATGCTCAACGCTCAACCGCCGAGCCACCCAGGCATCCCACTCTTGCTGCTTTTTAGATTCTTTCCTTGCCTTTAACTTTTGACAGTTTAATTATAATGTGTCTTGATGCGGTTCCCTGTGGTTTTACTTGGATGGGAACTTTATGGGCTTCCTGGATCTGTATGTCTATTTCCTTCCCCCAGGTTAGAGAAGTTTTCAGCCATTATTTTTACAAACAAGATTTTTTTTTCTGCTCCTTTCTCTCATCTCCTTCTGAGACCCCTATAATGTGAATGTTGGTCCACTTGATGATGTCCTATAAGTCTCTTAAGCTCTCCTGACTGTTTTTCTTTCCTTTTTCTTTTTGCTGCTTTGATTAGATAAGTTCAACTGCCCTCCTTTCTTCTGCTTCATTTAGTCTGCTTTTGAAGTCCTATGTTGTGCTTTTCACTTTAGTTTTTGCATTCTTCAATACTGTGACTACTGTTTGGTACTTTGTATATTTTTGAAATTCTGACTTTATTTACTTCCAAGTTTGGCAGTTTTTTTTTTTAATTTTTTGGCAGTTATTTTTATAACCATTATTTTGAACTCTTTTTTAAGGTAAATCACTAATGTCTATTAAAGTCTTTTTTTCCCTAAATTATTACCTTATTTTTTTGTTTAGAACATATTCCTCTGTTTCATCTTTTTTTCTCTCTCTCTTAAGTTTGTTTCTGTGTATTATTTAAAATGATCACCTCTTCCAGTCTTGAAAGAGTGTTCTTATATGAGAGATGTACCTTATCCTTTAGCCTTTCCCTAGCTCTTGGTTGTCTTCAAATCTTGTTCAAGTAGCCTGCTTTATTCTAGTGGTTCCCAGTAACTGAGGGTGTGCCAAGACAGGTCAGTGTCTCAGAGGGGAAGATCTTAGTTAGCATCCACAGTTACCCTGATTGGAAGCTAGACCCTCAGGCAACAGCTCTTAAAGTATGCAAATATACTTCTTTTAGGGAAAGTCTGGGTGACAGTTATTTCTTTCTGCTCCCTCTGCACTGATCCCTGGGTGATAGCCACTTAAGAACTATTTCTTCCTTTGCTATTATCCTGTCGTGCTCATAAACACAAGCCCTGCTGATCATCAAACTAGACTATCAAGGCTCAGCAACAGCCCAGAAAGCTGGGATGCCAGATGTGTACATAAGCTCCTTTAAAGACACCAATGATCTGGGTAGGGCCAAGAGGAAGCACATAGATGGTGATGTCTGCCTCCCCAGTCTCTAGAGAGGATTAATGTTGGTCCCTAGATATATGTTTCTTACAAGCCTACCTCTCATGCCATAGCTCTGAAGATAAGCTAGTGGGATTTTTTCTCAGTAAGACTATGGGTGTGATTCAGTCTGCCATCTCTATGCTATTCTATGGGGTTGGGGGGTACCTGGTTAAGAACTCTTTCTCCATAGTCCTATGGGGCCCATAAATGTAAGCCCCCTGGCCACCAGAGCAAAGCAATCAAGGGATGTCCCCTGCTGTACTTTGATTGAATTTTTGTACCCGGGTTCTTGAATCATTGTCTGGAACAATGATCATGTGTATAGCAGTTGTTTGTTGGAATACTTATTTCTCCTACCTGGTTGTAGGTTCCTTAAAATTTCTGTCTTCTTTGTATTCTAAGCTCCTAGTATAACCTATATGGCACACAGAAGGCACTAAGTGCCTGGAATGACTAAATGACTAAATCTTCACCATCATGAAGTGGAGCGTGTGGATTCTCTTTTATATATGTTAAATGTTGCTGGCTCATTGGAGCTCTAGATGCCCTTGTAAATGACTGTTGGTAGATTATAAAACAATTTGAATGACACTGACCCACACCACCTCAAAATAGTTCTTATTCTTAAGCTCCTATCCAGGGCTTGGGTATTGTAGTTCTCTCTATTCGAGTTATTTTCTTTGTGTTCTAATATATTCCTTGGGGAGTAATTTTTTTTTCTCTTGACTCCTTTGATAATTGAGATGAATGAGTAGACAAATAAAGAAAGGAAGGAAGGGGGCAGCCTGGGCTCAGTGGTTTAGTGCTGTCTTCAGCCCAGGGCCTGATCCTACAGACCTGGGATCGAGTCCCACGTCAGGCTCCCTGCGTGGAGCCTGCTTTCCCTCTGCCTGTATCTCTGCCTCTCTCACTCTCTCTCTGGTAGAGAGGCAGGGTAGATAGCTGTCAGCTCAGAAACCTCATTGTCTTCTCATGCTCTTTATCAGCATGTACCTTCATAAACTTGATTTCACAGCAGAGAGGAAATTTATATTCTCTCCAGGACACCTTCATTGATTAAGCCAGGTATTTTATGACAATATTTTAAAAGGCTGTGTTCCTTCTTTTTTTTTTTTAACCTTGACTTTTAAGCACAAAATTCTATTTTTCACTTAATATATTTCTGTGATGGGGATTTTGTTTTTTAATTTTTATTTTTTTAAAGATTTTATTTATTTATTTATTCATGAGAGACACAGAGAGAGGCAGAGACACAGGCAGAGGGAGAAGCAGACTCCATGCAGGGAGCCCGATATGGGACTCGATCCTAGGATCCCAGGATCACACCCTGAGCTGAAGGCAGGCGCTTAACCACTGAGCCACGCAGGCATCCCTGAGTGATGGGGATTTTAAATGCAAACAGGCAGTCTTTTTTTGAGTCTTTGTATATATTAAAATTTTGCTAATAATTTTACTTGTTTCCAGTATTCTTTATACATTTTGCTTGTTTCAATTTAGTGTGGATTTTATTCTGCTAATTATTTTTGTCAGTTAATATTCTGGAGCCACATTAACTGCTTGCTAGTTCACAACAATTTTGTTCACAGGAACTTCATTTATTCCAAATAATGGCAACAAGGTGGGACATGTTGGTCAACACTCAAAATCAGTATGAGAGCCAAGAATTAAAATCTTATTGTCAAGCAGGTATTTAAGGAATATCTGCTTCCTTATTTGTTTTCCAACTAATCCCTTCCTGAAAGAACCCTTATGTGGGATAATTTGTAACACACATTTTTTAAGGAATGCATAATCAGGAAAGCATTTACTTTTTGTCAAAAATATGCCATGCATTTTTAATCCATGTGTACACAAATTATAATTTGACAGCCATAATCTAGAATTGATTTATTGCTCTCCTGTGTTTATTTTTCTTCTCAGATGATTTCTGTACATTTACTAATAAATCATTCAGTGGTGCTTCCCATTTGTTAAGATCAATGTCAGCAAATAATTCCATCTTGAGCATTAATTTAAAGTTTCTATAAAACATCCTGAAATTTATCTGAGTGATCTCAAATAGCTTTATGTTGATTTTTCTTACCATTCAACTTGATGCCATACTTTTGGCACATTTAAGAGAGGCAGTAATAAGCTATAGCTCATTCAAAGATGAGTTCATAGGAATGGTGAGATCTTATGATTTTCTAGTGACTGAAAGCTCTAGATCTTTTCAATATAGACTTCCTATGAATTTTGGTTAGGCTAGATCTCTCATTTCAGAAATACATAGATTTCTGTAAGTAAATATGAGGCTTTGCATTTATCTTGCCTATACTTCAGCTTGTTTGGGAATAGTCTATATTCCATACTCCTAATCCTAACATCCAATGTATTTTATTTCTACCAGTTGAAAAATGTGATAAACATCCTTTTAGCTCTGCCCAGATTGTTGGAAAAAAATTAAATCGTGATAGGGAAAGTTACATGGGAGGTGCTAAGAGGGTCATCCTTGTGTCTTGCAGCATTATTAATTTTAACCATGATGAGGAGAGCTTACCTTCTTAAATGTCTCCCAGGAGAAACAATAAAATATAGTTTAATTTTTTACTGAAGTTACATTTTTAATGAGTGCTATAATAATATGTTGTTGAGAACAAATTTTTATTGTTCACAGATCCAGATTCCTTTTTTTCTTATTTTTGTACGAAAGAGCATTTCTGCAAGGATAATTTTAACTATTCAGGTTTTTTTAATGAAATGCGTATATTGACACCCTAGTCTCTTTTGAAAACCTTCCAGTTTTCACTTACAGCATTTTATTTGTTTTACTCACTTGTGGAATAAATCACCAGTAGATTTTATTGTTATTTTATGATACCTAAATGCAAACATGAATTTTTTTCAATATCTCTACTTTCAGAATATTTTTCCCAGCACTTGGGTGAATATGAGAATGTACTTGCAGCACTTGAAGACCTAAATCTCTCCATCCTGAAGGCAATGGGCAAAACAAAAAAAGTAAGATGTTGGAGTTTATTTTCTGTAAATCTTTTTTTTTTCAGATCTGTGTCTGAGATGTAAAGTCTAGATTGGACATATGTTTGTGAATTGTTAATACTTAGGCAAAGAACTTGAACGACATAATCTACAGAGAGACTATATAGTAAAAAAAAAATTTTTTTTTAACTATAGGAGAGGATCTAACACTGAGTTTTAAGGAACTTCAACTTTTTGTTGGTGGGTGAAGAGAATGAGCCAGCACGAGAATTTGAGGCAGAGAGAGGGAATCTAGGAGACTGTAGTGTCTAGAAGTTGAGGAGAGTGTTCCATGAAGCATCGAGTAGTCCATAGCATTGACTACTATAGAGGGGACAAGTAAATTTCTTGTTTGTAAATCAAGATATTTCAGTATGTGAGGTGCATAACAAGAAATACACATTTTTTTTAAAGATTTTACTTATTTATTCATGAGAGACACAGAGAGGCAGAGACACAGGCAGACAGAGAAGCAGGCTCCATGCAGGGAGCCTCATGTGGGACTTGATGCTGGGACCCCAGGATCACACCCTGGGCTGCAGGCGGTGCTAAACCACTGAGCCCCCCAGGGATCCCAAGAAATACAGATTTTTAAAGCTTACGTGGACTTTCCAGATAAAGACAGCAGATTTATGTGTACATCACTGAACTCTGCTTGCTCCTGAAGCCCCCAAAGAAAACGAAAATGAGATTTTTTTTTTTTTTTAGAGGGGGAGTAGCAAAAATTGTACTGAAAAGCAAATGAACAAATGGTTGCTGGCAGCAGACCTGACACATTTGACTGCTTGACTTGCAGTTGAAAAGCAGAAAGCCACAGCTTGGCTGTTAGAAAGGCTCAGGCCCTTAGTGGCACTAGTTGCCCCTGGAAACGGATGGGAATGAAGGGGCTTAAACAGGTGTGTGTGTGTGTGGGGGGGGTGTTGTTGGAAATCTGTGATTCCCTGCTCTTCCCTACCCAGCTGAGCAATTGTGTCTTGACCCAGCCGGGAAGAAAACCTAGACTTGGTCCCTGAAAGGGTTAAAGGAGAAGCTCTCTGCCCTGGGGTGGTGTCACCACAGCTGAAGGAGAAAGTAAAAGTTTAGGAACTAAATGGAAAGACTGCCAGCTATCTTCACCCACTGACCTCCCAGAGTGGTGGCCACTCAGAGGGTTGGCTTCCTGCGGGCAGAGAAAGAGGTTGTCTGGGAGAAATCTTAGCAGTATGATAGGAAGGACCCAGAGCCTCATGGTAGGTGAGCTCAGCCTCTGCTCCCTCTTCTGCCCTTGAATCCTAAAGGCTTGTCCACAGCCCATCCTTAAAGATGCACGTCAGCCAAGGGCCACCAGACTCCTTACAGGAAAGGCAGAGACCAAGACAAACCAAAAAGGAGGGAGGAAGAGGGAGGGAAGGAGGGAGGGACACAGTAACACAGGGGACTGTACAGGAGGATGAAAGCTCCCAGTCTCCTCAGCCTCCTCAGAGCGACAAGAGGAGATCCCACTTCTCTGAAAAGTAGGATGGCCAACAGAACACTAAAGAGCTCTTTGAAATTAAAACAAGAGAGCAGAAATAAAGGCTTAGCAGAATTCTGGGAAATAAAGTTTAGAAAGTCTCCCCAAAAGTAAAGCAGAAAAGAAAGTGTGAGAAAATGGGACCATCAGCCTTACTGAGTTGTCCTATATCCAAATGACCAATCCCACAGAGAAAGAATGGGAGAATGGGATATAAAGACGTTTTCTCTTGATCTGTTAAGAAGGATTATTTGGAAAGTGCCTAAGATTTAACGCCTTGGGACCTTCCCTCCAGAAATGATAACTTTTGGGAACCTCTGCTTGTCGGGGCTGGCTTCCCCCCTCCTCCTCTAGGTCTCCCCTTTAGACCGCGCCCTCAGTGAGGCCTTCTCCGACCGCCTTAGCAAAAGAGGTTCTCTCTGAGTGTCTCCTGTGCCTGCTGGCAGGGATCAGAATGAGTAACCATGTATTTTGTTTTCCTTGTCTGTAAAGAGGGAGAAGGGCAGTACCTTTCTGGGATACACAGAGCCTGATAAAATGTACCCCAAAATTTATTGATTGGTTAAATAGATTGACTTATCTATGGATATTCATAGAGCTCTGAAAGCTAAGTTTACTCCTGGAAGAAAAATTGCCCTTCCATCCATCTAAGAAGTGTCCAGATATCCCTTAGCGGGAAGGAAAAGCAAGTTACATAATCCTCATTTTCTCGCAAATTAAACTAAAATTGTGTTCTTTGAATTAATACAGCGAGGCTTTGTGGGATTTAAATCAAGATCCACCTGTTACTTTGGTGTCTCCGGCACAAAACCTACTTCTTAACAACGACCCTTAAAAATGCATTTGATCTGTGTAATCATCTTGCTTAATCAAGGACGAAAAGATTTCATTTAAATGGTCAAAGATAAAATTAGGCTCTTTGTGCGATAGCTCAAAGATGAGTGAAATGCAGGAGTTTGACAGTTTCTTTTTTTTCAAGCCACTGTTGGACTGACTGACATCCTCTCCGTACTGTCTAGCACAATGAACCCTTCTGAGTGAGCGATCCAGCATTTCTTTTTGAGAATCTCTCTGTATTTTTACCCAGATGAAAAGTCCTGTCTCGGTAGGGAGGGCTGACTGTTCTAGGCTTTTATGAAAAGTGAAATGCAAGCCGTTGGTGCACTACATCTGTCTGCTGCGTCAGAGAATGGAGAAAATGGATTCCAGCTGCTTCACTTAAGCCCCAGGAGGTGACCAGGACGGATGCATTGTTACCTCTGCATCCTTCCTCCTCCTGGTCCCTTAACCCAACCCTTTCTCTAGGTCCCCAGGGGTTACCTGGATGATTGCACTTTGCATATTTTTCCCAAATAAACACCATAGGTCAAATACTAAGTGGTCATTTGAAAGCCTTGAAAGGAGCTCAAAGCCCAACTCCCTGTCTGGCTTTGGGATGTCACCAAAAAAATTGTTATATTTCTCTTTCTACCATGGGGTGAGAAGCTAACGTACGTTGTTAGTATGTAATGTGCTCGTGATCTCAAAACAAATGTAGAATTCTGATGCTGAAGTTCAGATTCATCTTGTGCCATTTCATAAGCATCTATGGAATTCTGGATTCCCTTCAGCCTTTACTGGTAAGGCTCACCAAGGAAATGTTCCTGAGGAAAGTGAAGAGCGGCGTTCTTAAAATAATCACTTAGGGTGTGAATAATTACTTCACCTCGGCGAGGGAAGCTGGAAAAAAATATCCAAAATTAAAATGTATACATATTTTGTAGTTTTCACCTGGAAATTATTTTTCAAACAAGGACATTCTATAATCTTCAATTGTTTTAAGAAAAAGAAAATAGACTCGAGTCCTAGCATCGTTGCTTCTCTCTGGTTTTCTGTTGCTTCCTAAATCTGGGATCCGTAGACACCTTCGTTTTAATCTTCCCATCTTTTCTCCCTCCCTGTCTCCTTATATTTAGCATCTCGGCTCCCTGGGCTCTGTATTCCTTTCACTTGTTAAAACTCTTTTTTTTTTTTTCATTTTTGAGAAAAGCCTCTGTGTGTGTGTGTGTGTGTGTGTGTGTGTGTGTTCTTCTGTGAAGAAGAAATCGCAATAGGTCTAGGAATTCCTGTCTGGGGAAACCGTCACTAATTACTACAGTTTTATGTAGAATTTATCATTAAAAACAAAAACTTAAAAGTGTAGGTGCTGAAATAGTCCCATGTGTGGAATAGTGACAACGCCCTCATAGCTCATAGAAGGCAGACAGATCCTTTTACTTACGTATTCATGAAAATGAAAAATATTCTCGGACTTCATACTAACCATAGGAAAACAAGTGTATTTGACATCCCATTTGAAATGATGTGTCTAAAAAAAAAATGAAATGATGTGTCTTTTATGTGAGTGTATTGGGGGAAGAGGAGGTAGAGACTAGAGCCACGGGGAGTGGGAGAAAAGTATCCGGAGGTTGCAAATTTGGCCCAGTAAGAGGGAAGCCCTGTGTGAGGCCTACACTTTAGGATCCTCCTTTCAGCCTTGACCCGACTTGTGCAGGCAAAGAAGAACCCCAGGCCCTTGGAGAGGCCGATGTGTTAAGTCTTCCCTGGTGGGGGGAGACCTGGTTCTCTAGAAGACCCACCTTTCCGTCCTGAAGGAATCTGCCGTATTTGCTGACTCAGAGTAAGGAATCCTGGGCAGAGGAGCTGCCACCTCTGCCTGAAGAGGGAAAGGGCAAAACGGAGGTTAGAGAACCGACCCAGGTCATGTGAGTATGACTCGGGACAATTTAAAGGTGAGAAGAGACCACTTTGAGGTTTACTAGGAGGGCTCAGACGATGGTGCAGGTGATTGAGGCAAGATCATCAGCTGGTGGGTAGGAGGATAAGGAACCCCAGCTCACAGTGAAGCCGAGTCCTTCTCGGGACTTGGATCAGCACCCTCTGGGCAACCACATCAGTATTTCTTCCTAGCCATTGCTGGGACCCTGCCAAACTCTTGGCTGCTGACCTGACTTCCCTGAGCAGAGTTACCAGACAACAGCTTAGGGCTTGAGTGGCTCTGAACAAAAAAGGAATGAGGAATAACAGTAACTCTAGTAATACCAACTAGAGTGTATATAGTGCCTTGGAGTCTTCAGTGTCCTTCGATACACGTTATTTCATTTATTCTTCATAACCCCTTGGTGAAGAATGTCAGGCAAATAAAAATATACTCATTTCAAATATGTGGAAACTGAGTCATAAAGCAGTTAGTTGAGTTACTATCATAAAGTGAGTGAGACTTAAACCCAGTTCTCACATGAAAATGTTTAATTTTAAGGTTTATGTGGTCCCATATGAAACATATTGCAAATATGCAATTCCAAGTTGTATCATGGCACAGAAAAAAAGGGTCTTTGAAACGATCGAGCTCTTCGGGGTTTAGTTGTGGATCAGCAAAGGCTGGAGACTTCTATCTTCTATGGTTATTTTTAACTTTGTTTTAGGCAAATGAACAGAGCTTTGTGTAATA